CGTCGTCGTCGTCGTCGTTATCGTCGCGTTGTCGTCGTCGTCGTCGTCGTCGTCGTCGTCGTCGTCGTCGTCGTCGTCGTCGTCGTCGTCGTCGCTCGCGTCATCGTCGTCGTCGTCGTCGTCGCTCGCGTCGTCGTCGTCGTCGTCATCGCCGTCGCCGTCGTCGTCGTCGTCGTCGTTGTCGTCGCGTCGTCGTCGTCGTCGTCGTCGTCGTCGTCATCGCCGTCGTCGTCGTCGTCGTCGTCGTCGTCGTCGCTCTCGTCGTCGTCGTCGTCGACGTATTCGTTTTCGTCGTCGTTTTCGTCTTCCTCGTCGTCGTACATTTCCACAGGCACCCGGAGCGCCCCGGATCGGCGGCACTGGCCGGAGGCCACTACAATAATCTACAGTAACGAACGAGGGCATCATGAACGCAATTGGCGCAACAGTCAGCAAAAATGCCGTGTTCAAATCAGAGCATGCGGCCGAAGCGGGAGGACCGCAAGACGCGCGCACGAGAGAAGACCTGATAGGATCAAGAGCCAAGCCACCCAGTAGTCATTGCTCCACCTACTTCCTGTTTCTCCTCCTCTTCCCTCCCTTGCTCCTCCTGCCTCTCATCCTGTGAATCCTCCCCCCTCACTTCTGATCATGCTCCTCCGGGCTCATCGTAGAACACTACGTCACGGACCCATCATGGAACGCCTCGTCCGTCCAGCGACAGGTCACAGGTTCCGACCTCGACCCCCATCCTTCCGATTCTTGCGTGTGAGGGGCTCTTCTGTACTGCTCTTCTCCTTCGCAGCTCCTAGTCTCCCTGGGTCTGCTTTGTCACACCATTCGCACGACTCCCCTGGGAGCCCCCAAGAGGCCAATCCCCAAGAGGCCCCAAGACGGCCCCAAGAAGCCACAACATAGACCAACATGCAAGTTCCTCCTCCTCCTCCTCCTCCTCCTCCTCCTCCTCCTCCTCCCCCTCCTCCCCCTCCCCCTCCATCGTTGCGAGACTTGCGGGCCAGTTTTCCGAAGCGGGACCCGCCGTCGCCCCCGCTGTGCGACCTCAACAAGGCTCCGATCGCCGATCCGTGGCGAGCAGGTGGGCTCCCAAGGGCGTGAGGACACCAACGATACACCCACTGCGACGAGGAAGAGGAGGAGGAGGAGGAGGAGGAGGAGGAGGAGAAGGAGGAGGGAAGGGAGGAGGAGGAGGTGGAGGAGGAGGTCGAGAAGGAGGAGGAGGAGGAGGAGGAGGAGGAGGTGCTTCCGAAACTCGAGCTCGAGGACTACACCCCGCCGGCCCCCACGGCTTGGCCAAAAAAACGCATAACTCGATATTGCGCCCACCGTACTGAAGGACCACATCCAAGACATAATTTCGAGCACCCGGCAAAATTGTCGAAAAGGTGTCGAAACAGTGTCGAACGAGTGTCTCCCAGGGCCCGGCACGTGAAAACCATCGAGTTTCGGCCAAATCATTCTGGTGCTCGAAATTCTTTCTGGTGATCAAGGCTAAAATAAATAGGTTGGAACCTCGTAAGCATAACTACACCACATCCGTGGCCCGGGATGGACCTGGACAGGTCCAGTGCAGGCATGCAGCCGACGCCCTTCGCCAACTGCCACGAGCGAGAGGCGGGTCCCGAGGAGAACGGGTCCTGGATCCTTGGGCCTTCCTCAGGAGCGGGTCTTCGGCCTGGCGCGTTCGTAGAGGCATCCTGTGGGACGCACACGGACATACTAATACTATATGTCCTCCTTGGAGGCGCGCGTCCGACCCGAACATATAGTATACCCACCTTGTAGTGTATCGCTTCCGGAGCGGTGTGGCCAGAGAGCGCCCGCCACGCCGCATATACTATAAGATTTCTCGGTGCGCGCGTCGCCCTGGGGGGGGGGCGACGCACATGTAGTACAAGTATGTTGGGGTGACGCCGATCCTAGATGGGTCGGAGTAGATGGGGTCGGTGGAAAGCACCGCATCGCCCATGCATCGGCGACGCATCGGCGACAACGGCGATGCATCAACGACGCCAGCGAGAAAATCGGTCTCCCCATGGAGCCAATTCGCGGCGCAACTCTCCGACCCCACCTGCTGGGACCCCACCCAGGAGGCCTAGAAATCTGCTGACGGTCCCGGGGCCCAGGGAGAGCCCTGGAGTCCTGGGAGCGGCCAAGAAATCTCACGACCCGTTTCCCCCAGGACATTGGATGCTTGTTCTGGGGACCTTCCTGGAGACTCTCGTTCCACGCGTGCGTCGAAGCTGCGTCCAGCGCCCGTCGAGCTGAGCCGACCTTGAGTCGAACCTGAGTCGAACCTGAGTCGAGCCTGAATCGAATCTGAGTCGAACTGGAGCGAAACTGGGGTCGAGCTAGAATCGAACAGACCCGTTAGGTGGGCCCCAGGACGGTCCCCCAAACGAGCATATGAAAGACCCCCCCCGCTCCATGTTGAGCAGGGACAGACCGTCCCGGCATTCCTATAGGCCTACCGCGACATGTTCTTAGAACCGAAAATGTTCTAAGAACAGAAACCATGTTCTTAGACCATGAAGCCGATGTGTTAGAACAAAACAGTCCCAGCCAGAAATGTTCTAAGAACATTTCGTCCAGACCACATGGGCACGCCAGGGCGCTTCGCCATCTGCTTGACCATGCCGAGGAGCGGGGATGGGGGGAGCGGCGGCGCACCACGAAGCCGACGGAGCGCCCGGGCACCTTGGGCGAAAGCCCGCCGGGCGGATCTCCGCCTTGCAGGCGGCCGCTGCAGGGGGGGGGCGGCGTCTCGGGGGTGGCCAAGAGGGGGGTGCCCAAGAGGGGGGGGTGCAAATCATGGCCGGCGGCACGTGCGCAGCCCAAGGGGGGGCCAGGGACGTAATGAAATAAGAAGAGGCGCCATGACATCTGGGGAAATATCATGGCCCCGGGGAAATATCATGGCCCCCGCCATGATATTCACCCCCCCTAGTCATCACCCCCCTCTTGGCCGCCCCCGAACGTCGGCGCGATGGCTATTATCATTCCGGAGAACTCAGGACGATTTATGAAAGCCCTGGATTTCGGTCGGGCACGTCCCTCTACGGGAGGAGTATGCAAAACGAATTCTTTAAAAACTAGTCTGGGGAATCGGTTTTTGAATAGTTGTCCGAATATTATGTATTGTTCGTTTTCAATTCGCCTGTCGGAGAACACGTCCGACCTAACAATGGATGGTGTCTCGGCGGTCGGGCTGGCTTCTGGCGTTTCTGCTGATTCCTGAGCGCCTCCGCGAGCTCCCAGACTTCCACGTCTGGGCCTATGCCACGACCCGTGCCAAATACTTGTTTCGTCGCGGCGCGGCAGAGGCAATCCGCTCGCGCGCTCGAGCAGCTTGGGCGAAACAAGGGGGAAGGGCACTGACTGCACGAAAATATTGGGCAGAAGTGGCCAGTGCGGCCGGCCGTTGCTGAGGCGTCCTGGCAGTGGACTTGGAACGGCGTCGCGCCCACACCTGAGGCCGAGGCAAATGCTGCAGGCGCTGAAGGCTTAGAACAAGTCGAATCAGTACTGGGGCGGAGTGGCGAGTCCATGAGGCGAATGGCATCCAAATGTTCGTCAACAGGCCGTGCTACTAAGTATTCCTGTGCACAGCGGCAGCGGGATGCGGGGATGCCAGGACCGCGAGGGCTGGCCAGCGAGCCGCTCGCGGCAGCAAAAATGCTGCGAGCCTCCGAGCTGAGCTGCTGGTGGCTGGGCTGCAGGACCGCAGCAAGTTGACGGCTGCGACGCCACGGCGGGCAGCAGCCGAGGGCTGCGAACGGGCCAGCTGCTGAGGTGGCGCGAGCGGCGAGGCGCCGCCGCGCGCCGCCAGAGAAGCCCGGAGCGGCGGCAGCCATGGCGAGAGCCGGGAGAGCGTGGGCTGACCAGAGCTGGCCAGCTGTGGCGGGGCGGGGGCGCTGCGCCGGCACCGAGGCGCGGAAAGCGGCGGGGCGCGGCCGTGCCCGTGCCAGGCACACCTGGGAATGCAAATCTCAACACCCCATGGCCCTGCAAACACCCACACTCACACTCACTCGCGCTCACACACTCTCACATCAGAATGCGCACGACCAGTGGCACCCACCTGTGCAGATGTACCTCGAGACACGTGCAAGATGAGCGCTTGTGCCCACCCATTTCATGACTACATCGATGGTGATGCCTCGTAGACCACCCTTCGGACGAGGAGGCTGGAGGGTGAGGAACTTGCACTCCGAGCCGTGGATGCTATTAGATTTACGTGCCGACCGTCACTTCCACCTGCATGACGATGTGCACTCCGATGTGAATTTTGAGGTGCATGTCCGTTTGCATGTCGGTGCGCATTCAGCCTGAGCCGATCTGCAATTCGGTTGCAACTCAGTTTGCATGTGGACTGCGACTGGTGCCCCTTTCGACCCTGAAAACAACGATATTATGTAATCAGAGCAAGACTTACGTTGCTCCCATCGCACTTAAAGATCACATCCCAGAAATGCTTTCGAGCACCCGGAAAAGTGTCGAAAGAGTGTCGAAAGAGTGTCGAAACAGTGTCGAACGAGTGTCTCCCAGGGCCCGGCACGTGAAAACCATCGAGAATCGGCCTAATTATTCTGGTGCTCGAAATTCTTTCTGGTGGTCAAGGCTAAAGTAGGTGGGAACATCATAAAACTACACAAGACAACCCATGGGGCACGGGACAAACACCAAGACAACCCACGGGACACGGGAGAAGCCACAAGACAACCAGGGGACAACAACGGAACAACCAACGAGACAACCCACAGGACAACAGTGGGAAGACCCACCATCCACAGGACACCCACGGGGCAACCAATGGACGTGGGCATACCGCCGCGCAACAACGGGACAGCCCGCGGGACAACCCCGCGTTCCACCACGAGACGGGAGAATAACCCTTTTCGCAGACCCGACCTTAGCTGCGCCGACGCTGCTCGCCCTCGCACAGCTCCGCCTCACCCACACTTGGCGGCGCGCACGAGGGGATGGAGAGATGGGGAGGGCTTCTTGGAAGGAAGCTGCTCCTTAGAAGGCGCCGGTAATGCATTACAGATAAGGCCCGCGCCTTCTATAGAGAGCAGCAAATCCACCCCCAGACTAAGAAGCCCAAGCCAACCGCAGCCCTTTAGCAAACGCACCCAAGGAATCAATCGAACAGGGCAGGGCTGTTTAACGCCCAGGGCAGTTTAATAAACGCCCCACCCATTGTCAGGGCCGGGGCAATGTCAAAAAAGCCATCCCCCCTCCCCCCTCCCCCCTTGTCTACGCGTGGCTGACACGCGCGCGACACGATCTGAAACCGACCCCGATATCCCGGCTGGGGCCACTTTGCTATCGCCCCCGAAACTCCGATACGCGGACGCACCCTGCCATCATACACACACTACTTTTGACTCGCAAGACGCAGCTGGAGACGACGAGTCTGCTTCTTGACTTGCAGCGAACGTGGAGGGAGGAGGACGCGGGGCGGAGGGGCCAGGAGGGGGGGGGCAGGGGAGGAGGGAGCGCGGAAGGAGGAAAGCCGGGATACGGCACGGCAGTCGACGGGGGGAAGGGGGGAGGGGAACGAGGACGAGGAGCAGCAGCGGCGGCAGCAGCAGCAGCGGGAGCAGAAGGAGAGGGGGGGGAGGGGTTTCCGTTCCCTCCCCGGACGTCGTGTGCAGAGGCTCCAGGAGGCCCTCTGCAGGAGGCCCCCGGTAGTCCCAGGACGCTCCTGGAGGCCTAGCGGCCCACTCATTCTGCCGACCCTTCGGCGTTTATGAGACTCTTTTCCGTTTGAGTCGTCGTCGTTGGCGTCGTCGTCGTTCTCGTCGTCACAATCGCCGTCAGTCCAGAGGAGTTGAGGAACAAGTTGAACGAACGTCGTAGTTCAGCCCGTTCTTTTTCCTTTTCCCCTCCCTGCCAAGAGGTGGGCGGGAAGGTAGGGGGGGGGGGCCCAGGTCAGAATAATGCCCCCCCTGGTCCCGGCGGGCCCCAGAGGGGGGGGCGGGCAGCGGGGGTCTCAAGATCAGGGGAGGTCCCGCCTTCAGGGTCGGCGGCTCCGCGCCGTCACAGTACTCACACATCATTGCCCTTCGTTCCTCGGCCCTGGCGGGTGCGTAACTATATGGGGCAAGATGTCCGTGCAAGGCAAGGCAACGCACGGTCTCTTTCGCCCCAGACAAGGAGACAGACGAGCTCGATAGAACCCCGCCCTGTCTCCGACGCTGCCGGCACGGGGGGCCGGAGGCCGAGCGCGCAAGCGCGAGCGACTGGACGGTCGCCGAAACTTCTCCGAGCATCACCGGCTGCACGCAGAAGACGACGAGGATCGCGGAGACCACCAGATGTAGATAGGAGGAGGAGGAGGAGGAGGAGGAGGAGGAGGAGGAGGGATAGGAGGGATAGGAGGGAGAGGAGGAGGAGGATCGCGGAGACGAGGTCGTCGTCGTCGATGTAGAACACCACGCCACGAAATCCTGTCCTTTTCGACCGGCGCCAGAGGGTCGCTGTCCGAGAGCACCGCCGACTGCACGCTGACGGCGTCGAGGAGCGAGACGAAGACGCAGGTGCAGAAGAACACGCCTCCTCGGAAGCCTTGTCCCGCTTCGCCAGACAAGAATACTCCGACCAACGAACGCCGAACGGCCAATGTCCGAGAGGAGCGCCAGACGGCGCCCCTGATTAAGAAGCGAAAGCGAAGAAGATCGCGCTTTTCCTCCAAGTCTTGCCCGAGCCGGCCTGGGAAGATGAATCCATCGGATGCCAGACTTCCCGGGGCTCCTCGTGAAAGGCGGTGTGCGTGCCCATACGGCAGAGCCAGGACGGCCCCTGGAGGCCACGCCGCTTTTGACACCCGTCGGGCCAGCAAGAAAACCGGTAGTCCACAGGGCCAGTTGCTGTCCGTGCCGTCATTGCCGCTGCCATCCCGAAAATGGCCCGAATCTGACAGGCGTAGTCACGCGGTGCTTCCAGCCGGGAGCAGGAATTACTGAGCTACGAAAACCTTTAGCGATTAAATACCGAAGCATCGAAGCAACCACACGGCGAGGACGCGCTGTCATGGAGGTCCCTTCCTCGATCCTCCCCACCCTGGGGGGCGGGGAGGGATGGAAGAAGGACAATAAGAGCCCCAGACTCCGGAGGCCCAGAGAGGGAGAGAGCAAACTCCCACGCGCGCGCGCGTGCGCCCGCACACACACACACACACACTTACCAACCCACCCACCCACCCACACACACATACACATTCTGACGAAGGCAACGGCACCGACAAAACGACTGGTTCCTCCCTCTCATCTTCCTCTCCTGCCCTCGATCCTCCTCGGCCCTCCTCCTCCTCCTCCTCCTCCTCCTCCTCCTCCTCCTCCTCCTCATCCTCATCATCATCATCATCATCATCATCATCATCATCATCATCATCATCATCATCATCATCATCATCATCCCCGTTGTCCTACTCATCAACTTCGTCATCGAACCTTGTCATCCTCGACCACCATCGATGCTCTCCCCAGCCCTCCTGGATGACAGCACCCGCGCGGCCTGCCCCCGGCAGCTTCAGGAGGCCGCTGGGGCTGCCGCCGGCGGGCTCCCCGCCGGGCGCTGCCGAGGGGACCGCGGAGGTCCTGCAATGCACTCGCGCCGCGGCCGCTCTCCTCAACACACATCGTCCTCCTCCTCCTCCTCCTCCTCCTCCTCCTCCTCCTCCTCCTGCTCCTACTCGCAGTCCATCCTGCATTCCTCCTCCGCCACCTCCTCCTCCTCCTCCTCCTCGAGATCCTGCGCCTCCTCAGGCTCCTCCTTGTCTTGCTCTTCCTTCTCATCCGCTGCCGCTGCTGCTCCCTGTCCTCCCCACCACATCCCTGCTCCTCCACCTCGTCCTCCTCCTCCTTCTCCTCATCCTCCTCCACATCATCCTCCTCCACATCATCATCATCATCATCATCATCATCATCATCATCATCATCATCATCATCATCATCATCATCATCATCATCATCATCATAATCATCATCATCAGCATCATCATCAGCAGCATCATCATCATCAGCATCGTCATCGTCATCGTCATCATCATCATCATCATCATCAGCAGCAGCATCATCAACATCAGCATCATCAGCAGCACCATCATCAGCATCATCTTCATCATCATCAGCACCATCATCAGCATCATCAGCAGCAGCATCATCAGCATCAGTATCAGCATCAGCATCACCATCATCATCATCAGCATAATGATCATGATCATCATCATCAGGATCCTGATCATCACCATCAGCATCGTCATCATCATCATCATCGTCATCATCATTAGCATCGTCAGCATCATCCTCCGTCTCCCCTTCCTCCTCCTCCTCCTCCTCCTCGTCCTCCTCGTCCCCCTCGTCCTCCTCGTTCTCCTCATCCTCATGCTCATCCTCCTGCCCTTCCTCCCATCCACCTCATCCTCCTCCTTCTCCTCCCCCTCCTCCTCCTCATCCTCATCCTCATCCTCTTCCTCCTCCTCCTCCTCCTCATCATCATCATCATTATCCTGACCTTCCTCCCCTCCGCCCCCTCTTCCTCTTCCTCCTCCTCCTCCTTCTCCGCTTCCTCCTCGTCCTCCTCCTCCTCCTCCTCCTCCTCCTCCTCGTTGCAACGACTAGCCGCGCAAACGCCGATGGGAACAGACATCCCAGAGCCTTGGTGCTGTTTGCGCGCGGGCGCCGTGGAAGCTCGGAGCTCCTCCGCCTGCTCCCCCTCCGGAGAGGAGGGGAGATAAGGGAGGGACGGATACATGATGATGCTGACGGTGTTTCTGCAGTCTCTGCCGCGGGAATCCGCCACCGTGCCGCGAGGACTGAGCGGAAGGTCCTGAAATCATCGAAATTCCCACATCCTGAGTGTCCGATATCCCCTTTCAGGGGCCAGGGGGCCAAGCCATACATGTTCTTCATATCCCTGGTCGCGTGACTTGCGGAGGGTGTCGCATGACTTGTCATTTGGGCAGGGACCGACCGTCACAGCATTTCTATAAGCCTACCACGACATGTTGGAACCCCAAAATGTTCTAAGAACAAAAACACTCGTCTTAACACATAAACCCAAATGCGTTTAAACAAGACAGTATCGGCAAGACATGTGCTAAGAACAGTTCGTGGAAACCACAGAACAGGTTCCTAGAGCATGGTTTGGTAGGTCTAGAGGCGAGCCAGGACGCTTCGCCACTGCTTGAGTCATGTGTCCAAGACGATATAAAAAAAGGTCCCGAGACTGCCCAAGAGCTCCCCGAGACGGATCAGGATGGCCCGAAGACGAAGCAACAGGCCCCCGCAAGGCCCTATGAGGACTCAAAGCCTACCTCCAGGTGGGCCTCCAGAAACCAAAATAGAGAATTCCCCGCAAAGCATGGAAGGATGTTTACGGTGCTCGCAGTTGCGGGCTTTCAATGCTCCAAGGGCGGCCAAAGACGCCCCAAAGGACGCCCAACAAGGGCTCAAGATGCTCCCAAGAGGGCCCCACGACTGCCCAAGTGGACCCAAGACGGCCCAGGAGCCCAGGAGGCCTCCAAGACTGCCCAGGAGGCCTCAGAGAGGAGCCCAAAGCAGAACAGCAGATGGAACTTGGAAGCCGTTTCGCCACAGATTGCGCTTAAGACCCCAAACATGCAGGAAGAGGAGGAGTAGGAAGAGGAGGAGGAGGAGGTGGAGGAGCGCCCAAAAGGCCACACGAGGCCCACAAAAGGCCTCTAAAGGGCATCCCCCAGAGGCTGCCGAGAGGCCGCCTCCAGGAGTCTCCTCAAGCGGCATCCAAGAGGACCTTCAAGAGGACCTCGAGAGGCATCCCAAGAGACCCCAACAGGCATCCCAAGAGGCCTCTGGCCCACAGCCCAGACAAGGTAGAGGAATGGGCCGAAGGCCACAGGATACTAGTCACGGTTTCGACTCTCGTGTCGAGCACGCATCGCCACCCCGGCGCGGCGGGGTGCAAGCAAGAGGGAGCGGCAGACGTGGCGGGCGAGCGAGAGGCGAGAGAGAACAAGAGCGACCAAGACGGACCGAGGCGGAGGTAAGGAGAGAATCACGAAGAGGAGAGAGGTCGGTAGACATGCAGCCCCGGCCAGCCACAACTCGGGGAGCTGCGCTCCCTACCCCTTCTGAAGAAGCCTGTCATACCAACGACATTTCGAGAGGAAGGTCCAAAGCCGATGGGTCCTCGGAGGGGGGGGGGGACACAACTCCCGGAGTGGTAGCTGGCCTGCGGGTAGCAATCAAGTGGGCCCGGAGTGTCCTGGAGAATTTCGCTCCAGATTTCGGGGTGAACTTCGCGCGGATCTTGCTGGGGCGAAGAGAACTATGCACACGCACCGATCCTAGTAAGGCCCATCCTTGACCCAGGATCGGTGCACACACAGGCGATCTGCGCCATCGGAGAGCCGCGACGTCGGTCCGCTGGAGGGCCCCGTCCCCCCGCGAAGGCGCAGCGGGACTGGCGCCTGCTGGTGGCGTTCTTCGTGCTCGGGCAGTTCGCCCTCTCGCAGGTCCAGAGGGTGGGGCCCTTCACGAGCGGCGACCGTGTCCATATCCGCGCATTCGCGGTCTGGATTCCAAGGCGCGATACCGCGGTTACGCGGTGGCACAAATGCGTTCCGCGCAGGGCATCCGCGAAAAAGAACGCCCCGTGTCCGCTACACAGAGCTGGTGGGCATAACCCCGGTCGAGGCCACAGGGCTTCCGAGCTCTGGTTCGCGGACAGGGCGACGGCGGTGATCGGGGCGATACTGAGACAGTGACGATGCGGAGGAGGGAGGAAGGGGTGAGGGGACCTAAAGGGAGGACGAGGACCCTCAGATCCTGGCGTCGAAATTCGGGCGATTTCGCCTCTTTTCGGGCCCCGGGACTCTCACAGATCGATCCGGCTCGAAAAAATGACGCAGAAAGATGCAGTCTGGGGCTCTGGGCGTGATTTTTTACGATGTTGCATTTTTTCGCTACGTCGGATCTCAGGGGAGGGACGGCGAGGAGGAAGACCGAGGAGGTAGGCGAAGGAAGAATGCGGGGAAAAGAGGTCTGGGCGGTACCAGACGTGCTCCTGGCCTGAGGTGCCTCGAGCTTGTCGCGTCCTTTTGACCCCCCCCCAGGCCGTCTGGGCTTCGCGAAGGATGCTCTTGAAGCCGCAGGGGCCTCCCAAAAATCCTGGGGACACCTTGGAAGGCGGCATACACATGAGCTTCCGGAGATCCGCACGGATCTCTTCCAAGATATCCACGCGGACCTCCGAAAATGCACGATCATGCTCATGTTTCTTCGCCAGCTTGGGCAGCAAAACACTTTTGACAACACCCGAGAGGCAAGAGATGCTGGCCGGAGCGCCCGCGCGTCCTCGCGTTGAGCCGCGGGTGTCTCGCGTGGGACACTGGC